CCTATTACATAGCTTTGCTGTCACAGACTAGCCAGACTTATGGGAGGAAGACGAGTAGCCCCGATGGCAAAATCCATCTGCGGCTAGGGTTGTATGTGTGAGAGAAAGAGAAGGTAATAGGAAGGATGTGGCTCGGATTGCGTATCAGTTTAGAAACAAATCCTAATTGAGAAAGCCAAATAGGGTTTAGGGTGGGCTGAAAAGGAGATGGGCTTTGGGTTCTAGGCCACTTAAATTAAAGAAATAATAATATAAGTTATGTTGGTTGGGTTGGGTTGGGGTAGGTTGGGCTGGGGTTGGATTTCTGAAGCAAACAGAAAAAGGAACACAAGTCTTCTTACAACAGTAAGGAAGACCGGGAATACTCTGATCACTGTCGGAGCCTATATTTCTATAGGGAAATCTGGGGGAAAGCCTGACGAATTATTTTTACTCTTAAATAACTCAAAATTCTATTGATAAAGACTTGATTACAACTGATAAAGAGGCTGTCCCTTTTATAATACTACTATTAGCGACACTTGACATTTCTTAGAATGACATTTCAGATTCCCATATCATAATTACTACTTAAAACTTTGACTAGACACTTTCCAAGACTATTGGCTGCCTCAATCCTCACTAAAGTACCCTTAAAGATTTGCATCAGACCCTCCTCCTTGAAGAAAACTCGCCCTCGAGTTTGAAGCAATTTACCACGATCAAATAAGAACCCGAGTAAAGCCTTCCATCCTTTCTTTCTTCTTTTCCGTACACGAACAAAACACACCAATCTGCTGTTACTAACAAAGAATCTGATTTTCAGACCTCTCTTTAGAAATTTAGTAAATTTCCGAAACCCGCTTGAACACAAATCAGGAGCCAAGACCTGAAATTCATGATCTCTCAGCTCCAAGAAGAAAGAAGATTCATTTTAAACCAAATTATGCAAGTAAACTCTGTCTGTTGTACTGTCTAATGCACCAGTTACCGTAGGAAATGTAATGGTCTTATCTTCAAATGTTCCACCTATTTGTTTGTTGACGAACATAAGCTCTGAAATTCCTACAACTTGGGAATCAGCCTGATATATTTTCTTCAATTTCTTCAATGGTTCCCAACTTCTCACCTCAAATCCACGATATACAGACTGAATAATGATAGCTGCCTCAGTTTCTGACAAGTTCTCGGCTGCTTCTTCAGACTTCTCCTCTTCTGCCTTAATTGTCTCTTCATATTTTTCACCATTGTTGTCAAATTCTGGAAGTGAGGAAGTTGAGATTTCCTCCAGTGTCTTACCTTCTTCATCCACCCATCCAGTAAGTTCATCCCAAGTTGGAGTGACATCCACAAAATCAACACAATTTCCAACGTCTTCCTCAAGGATGAGTTGTTTTGCATTGATCACACGAATGTCTAAAATTATTGGACACTCGGCAGATTTGAATCTTGAATCCTCGTGCGTGTAGGACCAAAATTCAGAATCTTGGGCATGGTTCACCATTGATGTCCATGTGCGTTGTGATCTGGCAGCACTCAGCTTTGGACTTCTAGACTGCATGCGACATTGAATCTCTCTCTAGCAGGCTGTCTTAACCAATTTTCACATTGATATGCATCCATTCGCTGCCCTTGTCTCCCAATGTCCAGATTTAGAGGAGAAATTTGTTCTAATATAGCTCTCAATTGAGAAATTTGATGTTGCTGATTTTTCGCCAGATTTTGAACATCTTCTTTTGTGACTATCGTGCTTCCTTGCCTAGCCATAGATCCGTTGTAATCACAGATCTAAAGGAGAGGCTTTGATACCAGTTGAAGCAAACAGAAAAAGGAACAAAAGTCTTCTTACAACAGTAAGGAAGACCAGGAATACTCGGATCACCGTCGGAGCCTAGATTTCTAGAAAATATGTAGAGGGAAGAATTAACAATGTCTTACCAGACCATAAACCATCAACAAAGTCTCCTTAGACCATACTCGAATGGGTGGTACCAAACTCACAATGCCCTCGTGGTCGTCGAACCAATACAATATTGAAGAAAGAGAAGAAAAATGTGTAAAGGCTTGAATGAGATTGTAAGAATATGTAAAGACTTGAATTAGTGTAAATACTCTTTCACATCTCTGGTATTTATATACTAAAAGGAGCATGTGTTAATATTGCAAAAAAGGAAACTGAATAAAATCAGTGCATATTCTATGCCTAGACATACGCATAAATAAAGTTAAAATCCATAATTCTAGCCTATCAAATCTCGGCTAATATGGTAAGTTAGATACATGATTCTAGCTTATCATATCTCGGCTAACAATTATATATCCCCATTGTAATCATCATTTGAATATAAAAATATACAGTCAATTCTTCTCCCACATTATTCAGTAGTTCTTAAAATCTTATCGATTCTTCACTGAAATATCTCATGTTTTAGCTCTATGTGTTTGGGCAGAAGTTGTACAATTCAGTCTATGAGAGACATATCTTTGTACACAAAGGCTCATTCTCAGTCTTCATGTGAGAGATGAAAAGGCTTCCTCTTGACCTTCATGTGAGAGGGTTGTGGCTTACACTCGGCCCTGATGTGAGAGGATCAGGTTTACTCTCAGCCTTCATGTGAGAGGAAATAGGCTTACTCCCGGTCTTGATGTGAGAGGAGATATGCTTACTCTTGGCTTTGATGTGATAGGACCAGGCCTACTCGCGACCTTTGTGTGAAAGGAGAAAGGCCAGGTCTCACCTTTGATGTGAGAGAGGTTCCCACTGATCCTAAAAGTGAAGAGGCTCTGCTCACTGACTTGAAGGAGGAGCTCCAATGAAGTTTGACTTCAAATTCCTCATTCCTCAAGTACAAGCTTGAGGCGAGGATGTAGGAGATTATCCAAACCTCGTAAAATCATGTGTCTTACTCTTAAAACTCTTTTAATTTGCAGCATGTTAGTTTAATTCAAACGCATATGCATCAGTTTGAGTTGAGATAACCTTCTATGGATGTATGATTTCTTTGTTTCGTATTCCTCTGTTTTAGAAACATGATAGGATTAGATGCTTTCTAGGATTAGATGCATGATAGGAGTAGATGTATCATGTATGCTAGGATTAGATGTATGTTTAGGAGTTTGTTTTCACCGAGTCTTAATGTTTGAAGGAATTTATAAAGAAATTGAATTCATACTTATCAAGCCAAATCTATTCAAGTATACTTGAATCAATTTTTGCTTCAATCATCAATCATTTCCAAACTACCTAATCACTTGTAAGAAGCCAAATAACCAGTATTAGGAAAACCTAGGCAACCTAAGCCATACAACAACCATTAGGAAGCCAATCTACCAATTGCCTTAGTCATCTCATCACAAAGTACATTCCCTAGGCAATATAAATAGCCCAAACCTTTCTAGCCAACCTTAGTCATCCTAACTAACCAACCTTGGTACTCCGTTTTAGTAAGCATCCTTAGATTACCAATTAGGATTCCTTGACCTTAGAACCTGTCCGAAGAGATCATTCGTAGTTTGATACTGACACCCCTCTTCTCTCTCCATCTATCTTTTAGGGTCAAGGTCTGGACGACACAAACCATCATCCAACAATTGTGACAGATTGAAGTGATCAGCAGTCGCCTGATTCTCAAGTTCTCAAAAGACAACTTATCCTGAAGTGCTAGACAAGAAGACAAGAAGTAAGTGAGCACTTGGCATGGTTTCAGAGGAAATATACAAGAGTTGTCTCCTTTTTGAACTACTACCCTAGGCCTTCTGATTCAGTTCTATGGAGGAAAATGTTGGTGTTGGTTCTACTTTAGTTTTGTTCACGGATCCATGGTGTCAAGGACAAAGTTTGCTTTCCAGATTTGGCAGCAGATTGTAGAGAGTTTGGTCTGCCAAAACAAGCTTCTCTTTCTGCCATTATCCACATAGACAGTGGATCTATTCAAGGGATTCTTCTGCTGCAATTAATCAGTTGAGGTCAATCGATCTTCATCATGGTTAGGATACCATTGTGTGGAGGCATGGTGTATTCTCTTTTAACGATGTCTGGGATAAGTGCAGAAGGCAGCATACTTAAGTTAGTTGGTTTGCAGTCTGAATGAAGTCCCAAACAGCACTGCAGGTAGAAACATTGTTTTATGTCGTTAATCTTTTTTTTTTTTTTTTTTTTTGATAAGTTTTATGTCTTTAATCTTTCGCACCCCAAAACCACCCTCCACCTTTGGAGCTACAACCAAATTCCATCTAAGAGCATGCAGTTTCATGTGATCATCAGAAGATCCCCATAAAAAGTCTATCTTCTCCAAATACTGACAACAGATGAATAAATAGTAAACACCGAGCACCAAAAATACACAAAAGAAGTTAAACCGGATCTCACTAGCTCCAATCTCCCTGCTGTGGATAAATAGAGAACATTTCCGGAATTGATTCTAGCACAGAATTTTTCAATCATGCAGTTTCCAGTTTTTATTTATACAAATATGTTTTGATGTGTAAGATGCCAACACGACCGTGCTGAAGCAGCATATAATGTTATGGTTCTGCTGCTGCCTATCTTCCCCTTGTTTTTTTACTTTTTTTTTTGGCTGCTGCTGCTGGGGTTGAGCCTATTCAGCGACCTGGGAATTAATATATCCTCATCCACTTCCCTGTACTGACATCCAGAGAGAAATCAAAGTTACAAGTAATTCGATATTCAAGAGAAGTCCAAGTGCCTAGAGACACTATTACCTTGGTGGGATGCTTCAATAGTTCATGTTTTGTCATTGATTCAGCTTGTTGATTTTTTTTTTTTTTTTTTAATACTAAATTTATGTTTCAGCTTTTTGCTTTGTTACTTAACACACTCTCCGATTATGATCCACCACGAGGTTATGAGTTTGCATGTGCTCAATATTTGTTGTATATAGCCTTCTATTCACATGCAATTACTACATAGATATTAAAGCCTTGCCTTGATTAATAATAGTTTCTTAGATTGTCCATGTCCATTTATAAATATTTATGATTTTTTCATATTGGTCTTGCAGACTCGAGATCCTCCGATATTACCTCCATTTTCTGTCATGTTGGGAGGTAATAACCATTCGCTCCTGAGATTCAATTATAAAGTTCTTGACAAGTACTTTTGTTGTTATTTCTTGAGAAGGAATAGTTTCTTTTCGGTTTGAGACATTACAAAATTCCTCTGACTAAATCTTGTCCAAATTTTATATCCAAAATTAGCAATTCTTCCTTAAGTATATTGTATTTATAGCTGTATTGCTTGGTAAGTTACTTTACATATGTACACTTGCATGTGGAAAACTTGAAAAGAAAAGGACTGTAGAAAACTGATATTTAGAGTATAAGTTACGTCACTTGGAAGTAACTCTTTAATATTTATACCGTCTCCCCCTTCTCTTAACCTATGTGCGGTATCTAAGGAAATCGTCATAAAATTGTTCTTGTCCAACTACTATTTTACTCTTTTCTTATCTTTAGGTTCTTATATTTTTAATTAGTGGAAGTAGCTGAACTTTTTTTTTTGAATCAATTCTGACATTAACCTGGGCTTGGCATATTCTAGATGGGACTCACCCTGCAAAAGTGGAACAAATAGTCCACAACTTTTCAAACTATGGAAAAAGGAATAAAGAAACCTTGGCCGAGCTCTTTGCTAGTCTGTTAATAAAGGTAACATTTTTACCTCTCAGTGGATATTAAGTTATTTGAAAAAATGCCACATCCTGACAAGGTTCAATTCTACTATCTGAAAATATTAACACAATACATGTCACAAACTGAATGCAAATTATTTCACCAAAATGTGATAAATTTTGGTAGTTCTTGTTCCTGTTGCAGCTAGCATCGGTTGAAACGCTTTGGCCCAAAGGTCTTTGTGTAAGCACCTATGAAGGATCTTGGATATCTAAAACATGGGATTCTAAAGATGGCTGTATAAGTGTAAGTCTATTTGACTGGCTTAAATATTTGTAGTTCTGCCTATGCTTTCAGACAGACGAACTTCAGTGAAATTATCTACCTTTCACAGGTTGAAGATTTCACAGATCGTTCTCAAAACGTTGCAAGAGCAGTAGGATCAACCCAAATGAAAAAAATATACAAGTGCATCCATGTTTCTATTTGGCATGTTTTGTCCTTCATGAAAGGTAAGATTCAAGTTTCCAAATTAAGGGAATGTTTGTTTGGTCCAGATCCTATACCTAATCTAGTGGGCAAAGGTAATACAAATTTTAACAAAAATGTGGTGGAGCCTCGTATTCCCATCGACTCTATCCAGACAAAAAAGATGCGACGTACAGATGGTTGGGAAGGAATAAAGCAGATGAGAGAGGTGCAATCTGTTGAAGGTTGGGGAGGAGGAACTCATGCAAAAGGTTGGGGAGGAGCACAAACAGAAGGTTGGAAAGGAATACATGCCAAAGGTTGGGAAAAGACACGAACTGAAGGTTGGGGAGGAACACATACAAAAGGTTGGGGAGGAGCACAGACAGAAGGTTGGAAAGGAATACATGCCAAAGGTTGGGTAAATGCAGGAACTGAAGGTTGGGGAGGAACACATACAAAAAGCTGGGGAGGTACACATACAAAAAGCTGGGGAGGAATACATGCCGAAGGTTGGGAAAAGACAGGAACTGAAGGTTGGGGAGGAACACATACAAAAAGCTGGGGAGGAACATATACCAAATGTTGGGAAGAAAAACAGCAATATACTTCCCTCTACTGTATCGGAACAAAAACGATGAGACCTAAAGTTAGTTGGGGAGGTGCATGGCAAGCTATTCCGCTCGACCCTACCCAGGCAGAAGAGATTCGATCTGCAGAAGGTTGGGAAGCAAAATAACAAGCTAATTGTGTGACTTCAAGCAATGGAAATCTATTCTCAAGTCCTATAGTTCCTTGTATTATTCAATTGGCTCCTAGTTAATGAGGCTTCTTGTTATCCTACAACACTTGCACCCATTCCTTCCCATAACCCACTAGTAGGTTTTAGATGTTCAGGTGGTGGTCCTCAGCAACCATCTTTTGTCCCAATGCAGAACTCACTGGCTTTTGATGATGGGTCATGTAATATGAATCAGGTGGTTCCAATGCCTCAAGTTGGATGGATGCATGCAAAACATGCCCAACCTAGTGTTAGGTGAAACTAGTAGTTGTAGCAATCACTACTGTACAATTGGTAGGCTCCTTTTTGGTATTTATTTTGCCTCTCAGCTTCTTCCTCTTTGGCTCTTCTAAGTGGCTTCTTATGAATGAGTCTTTTGTATATGGTCAGTCTGACTCTCTTCTAAGTGGCTTCTTATAAAGTCTTTTGCATATGGCCAGTCTGACTCTTCTAAGTGGCTTCTTATGAATCAGTCTTTTGTACATGGCCAGGCTGACTCACAGCCACTGTGGGGATTCATGTATACTGTCAATTAGGAAGTGAAAATTACACTTGCTAGTGGAAATGGTGGAATACTGTTTGTTTACTTTTTGAATTTATTTGTTGTCTTATGGTGGATTTATTGTGGAAATTTTTTCTTTTTATCTTCGCATGTCAAAGATCTACCAAAAATAAATAAATAAATAAATAAAAGGAAATATTGCAAAATGGAAAAAAATTAAGGAAGGTGAGATATATGCAATATAAAAAAAGAGAAATGATAGGTCTTGATGTAGGACAATTTTATCTAGTTAGTATTTCTTATTGATTAGATTTCTTAATATTTTTTTATTATTTTTATTATATATATATATATAGGAAGTTTAGTTTTATTTAATTTCTTTAATGAAGAACTATTTTCCTTTTGTTATTAGGTTTCTTTATGTTTTTAGTTTTCTTCTAGTATTATGTTTTCTTTTATTATAAATACATGTACTGCCAGAATTAATTTTTATTCATTTAACTATCAAATAATATATCAGATTTATCTGAATTCTCTTTCTGTTTTGTGGATTCAAAATACCTACCTTGTGGATTCAAGGTAACTTATTTATCGCTTTTCCTAACGTCAGTTGGTATCAGAGCCTTGTCTTTTCCTAGTCTGATGGTAGGTGATCGTTTTCGTGGCAACCTCGCTGGCGACGACGATCGACAAAGATTGGTTCCTTTTAGGGCTGAATTTCAAGATTGTCAACGTGAAACCCGTGAAACCCAGCAAACATTGCAAGATATTCAAACAATGTTTGCTAGGCTTAAGTTGGGTCTAGAGCAGAATCGTGATAACAATAGGTTGCGCAATGACATAGATGGTGTTCATCCTGTTCGTAATCGCAACCTATTCCCTACTCATAGTCAATCAGCCTACGAGGAAAAGGTGTTTGGGGATCATAGAGACACACGAAGATATCATGATTATGGAGATTATGATTCTAGGAATTGTCTTCCTAGAAGTTTTGATGGTCTCTTTCATATTGAAGATTTTTTAGATTGGTTAGAAGATTTTGAGAGGTTCTTTGATTACATGGGGATTCCAGAGGATAAGAAAGTGGCACTTGTCGCATACAAATTGAAGGGAAGAGATTCTGTTTGGTGGGACCAATTGCGGGTTACTTGTGCATGACAAAGAAAAGCGCTGATACGATTTGGTTGAAGATGAAATGTCTTTTAAAAGCCAAGTTTCTTCCACTAGATTATGAGGAGTATGATGAGATCCAATTTCAGTTATACCAAGATTACCAACTGTGGTGTGCCAAGGTCCAGCCTTATACTGATTTATCATTGTCTTCGAAGCCTCGACCTCCTTCTACAATGGTCAAGTTTGTACAAGAAGCAAAAAGTATCGAAAGGGTTATACTTGTCCAAGAAGTGCAATCCCGTGGTAGTTTCCAAGAAGAGAAAAAAGGAGATACAAAGAATGAAAAATTGAAGAGGGTTCCTTCAATTGTTGCAAGTGATAGTGGTAAGAAATTCAACACAACCAAAAAAGAAGGTAGCGATTACAAGAAATTTTTGGTTCCAAATCAGCATTCATGCTTTTTGAAACCCGAAAGTGTTGTTATGGTTTCTTCAATCTTGTTCCAATTGCGGCAGGTGAACAACCACCATCAACAACAATCTCATCAAGATCGTACAAGCACGAGTGTGAAAAAGTTATGTTGGGCAGCTTAATCCCTTGACAGAAAATCAATCACTAAAGAAGGATTTAGATTATGCAACAACACAATTGCTTCTTGTAGGACCCGCCACTTGTTTTGAACATACTATAAAGGTTGGAAATTCAAATACTATGTTGGTGGCCAATTGTGAACATGAGGTTTGGAGTACAAGAAGATGATGTTGTACAACATGCGGTTAGTGGTGATGTGGAAGGCGTTGATAGCAATTTTTGTGCTTATGGCGTGACCAGCAGTGGGGAGACTCGTACCATGACAAGTGAACCAAGGTTCACCAATATTAAATCATTGGTGGTAAAGGATGAATTTCCTATTATTCAACAGACTCCAGCCAATGAATTTCTCCTGTGATCCATGTTTGAGTGATGAAAGTAAAGATGATTTGGGAAAGCTTGGTACTTGGAAATCGTGTTAAGACTTGATTTATCCTTTTAGTTACCTCACATGTTCTATCCTATTTGGATTTCAGTAACTAACTAAAGTGAGCACATTAGAATTTTTTGACATGGGTCTGGACTTTGCAATCAACTTTGGATGGTTGATTTTTCAAACAATTACCAAACAGCTCTTGACTCTTTTCATCATTCCAATCTAATTTTGGAGTCCACTGAATTATGCTTGAACCAATCAGGTTTTCTCTTTCCTGTTGAGATCGGGTGTCATCATTCAAATAATTTCTTTCCTTTTGAGTTACCAATGGAGATTGGAAATCTATCACAGTTGCTGTTTTTTTGGGATTGGATAACAAGAAGTAAGTTTATGAAGCACCAAGGTCAAGTCATCAATGGTATCGAATTTTATTCATCATTCATACGAGTTTTTTTTAAAGTGGAGGGGATTGATGTAGAACAATTTTATCTAGTTAGTATTTCTTATTGATTAGATTTCTTAATTATTATATATATATATATATATATATATATTATAGAAAGTTTAGTTTATTTAATTTCTTTAAGGAATTATTTTCCTTTTGCTATTAGGTTTCTTTATGTTTTTAGTTTCCTTTCTTTTATTATAAATAGGTGTACTGCCAAGTGCAGAATTAATTTTTATTTATTCAATTATCAAATAATATATTATAAATTCAAAACACCCATTATGTGGATTTAAGGTAACCTGTTTCCCGTGAACAAATTTATCATTTCCGCTTACAGGTCTTTCAACCTAAACTGTCGACTTATCTTCCAAATTCAACGTGGCCACGTTGTAGTGAAAAAAAAAACAAATAACAGTAAACAACTCTCTCTTCGACTATCTCTTCACGATTACCCCCTCCCCCGTCTCTACCCCTCCTATCTTACAATTGATTCTTAGTCCTTCAATTCTCTCTCTCTCTCCCCCATCTTACCATTGATTCTTAGTCCTTCAATTCTCTCTCTGTTTCTACCATCATTACTCGATCCTACCTTTCTATTTGATAGTGGAACTATCTCTTTCATCCTTTAATTTCACGTCTTTTTTACATACATGCCCTAATATAATGTCTGAATCTAGAATTGGAAATCAGTCTTCTCAGCCATAATCTAAATTTCATGGGTATGTTCTTAATTTTTTTTGGAAATTTTTGTTGGTATTTCATTAACAATTTCATGGGGTTGTTGATGCTATACTAACTTGATGATTAATTTGAAGCAATGATTGGTTACTCCTAAGTGATAATTTTACATTGATTTCTTGTCCTCATCTCCTTTCAATCTTTTTTTTGTTTCTGAATAAGAGAATGAGAAATATTTAATGGAAAGATTGTTGCTGCAAAAAGAAATGGTTTTAAACGAGGAGCATGAATGACTTGCTTCAGAATTTACGGCTAATAGACTGGGCAATAGAATACTGGCTAATAGACTGGGCTATAGGAGACGAGTTCAAGAACAAAGCAAATTTAGCTCATCCGAATTCCAACCACGCATTAGCTACCCAGTGAAAAAACCTCTTTAGTTGCTGCATTAGCTACCCAGTAAAATTAAAAAAAACTGCAACACCACACGAATGAAAAAAGGCAGCAAAACAACTAGCAAAAACTATAGCAATCACAAAGGCCAACACAAAGAAAGAGCTTTGTTTCGACTCATCTTCCCTTCGAAGATAAACGCCCTATTTTCACTTTCGATTTTGCAATATCCAAGACAGCCAGAATCAGAGGAAGGGGAAGTCCAGGATCGAGAATAAAGGAGATAGCGACAAAGGAGGAATAAGAAGAGGAAGAGAGAAGAAATCTGGAGAGAGAAGTCGAAGAAACAAAGAGGGTAATGGCAACTTTTAAGCTATCCAGTTTATATGAAAAAAGAAGCATCCAGCCTTATTTTTTTTAAGGTTCGGACATGGCTGGGCCATGTAAGATTCGGAGGATAGTTCGGCAATTTAGGTCGGAAAATCTATCATTTATCTTAAAAGAAAAAAAAAAAAAAGAAGAAGGGAAAAGTAGTCCAGCAATGCCTGAAATTAGAAAAAAGAAAAGAAAATGAAGAGTGAAGGGACAAAAAGAAGAAAATCTTAACCCACTTATGGTCTTCAAGATTAACACCAACTTTAGCATCTTCCTCCAAGGAAAAGGAATGCTTCAAATCTTCAATTGTGTGTGTTCAATGGAGGGCACAAGGAGACGTTCTTTGCTTCAAATGAATGGTTTGAGCACAAATCTTTATTATTTATTTTTTGGACAGAAAGAGCAAAACTCAGTGCCCAGGCTGCCGTTGAGGTAACTTTACCTTCTGGTCACAAATAGAGTATAAAAAGTCTACCTTCTGGTCACAAATAGAGTACAAAAAGGTAACTTTGCTTATAAATGTCACAATAGCGTTAAAAAGTGTCTAGTCAAAGTTTTAAGTAGTAATTATGATATGGGAATATGAAAATGTTATTGGAATAGTAGAAGTCATTATTAATGCTTTGTGGGAGGTTGAAAGTCATTCTAGGAAATGTCAAGTGTCACTAATAGTCATTCTTTATCAGTAATCAAGTTGTAATCAATATATTTTGAGTTATTATTAGTTTATAAATTGTTATTCAGGGCTTTTTTTTTCTTCATATTTTTCGTTAGAAATTTAGGTTCGGACTGTGATTAGAGTATTCCTATTCTTCCTTGTTGTTCTAAGAGGACTTTTATTCTTTTTTTTGTTTGCTTCAAGTGGTATCAGAGCCTTTCCTCTTAGACCTATTATTGTTGCAGATCTATAGCTAGGCAAGGAAGCAAGATGGCCACAAAAGAAGACTTTCAAAATCTGCAACATCAATTTTCTCATCAAATTGCTCGACTGAGCACTCTATTAGAACAATATGGAATCATTCCACCTCTGAATCTGGACTGTAGGAGTGAAAGGGATCAACATGATGCATATGAATGCAAATATTGGACAAAACAGCCTGCTGCAGAGAGATTTCATTGCCATATGCAGTCTAGA